ATGGACACTTAGGTTGTTTTCATATCTTTGCTATTGTAGACAATGCTACAGTGAACATAGGGGTGCATATATCTTTACTTTTTTTTTATTTTAGAGAGGAGGGTGGTGGGGAGAAGGAGAGAGAGAGAGAAAAAGAGAGAGAGAAAGAGAGAGAGAGAGAGAGAGAGAGAGAATGCCAAGCAGGCTCCCTGCTCAGTGCAGAGCCTGACATAGGGCTTGAGATCACGATCTGAGTTGAAATCAGGGGTAGGATGCTCAACCAACTAAGCCACCCAGGCACTCCTATATCTCTTCAAATTAGAATTTTCATTTTCTTCCCACAAATACCCAGAAGTAGAATTGCCAGATCACATGGTAGTTTGACTCACTAAGAAAAAAGGAAGAGGGCTTAAATAAATAAAATCAGAAATGAAAGAGAAGTTACAACTGCTATTGAAAAAACACAAAGGATCAAAGGAGACCATTATAAAAAATTATATGTCACATATTGAACAACTAGAGAAATGCATAAATTCCTAGAAATAGACAATCATCTAAGACTGAATCATGAAGGAATATAAAATCTATACTAGACCAATTACTAGTAAGGAGATTCAATTAATAATTAAAACCCACCTAACAAACACAAGTCCAGGCCCAGAAAGCTTCACTGGTGAATTCAACCAAGCATTCAAAGAAGATTTAAAACCTATCCCTCTCAAACTCTTCCAAAAAATTGAAGAGGAGATAAATCTTCCAAACTCATTTTATGAGGTCAGCATTATCCCACACCAAAACCAGAGGAGGACACCATGAAAAAAGAAAATTGCAGGACACTATTCCTGATGAACATAGATGTGAAAATCCTCAATGAAATATTAGCAAACCAAATTCAACAATAAATTAAAAGAATCATTCACCATTATCAAGTGAGATTTATTCCAGGGATGCAAGGATGGTTCAATATCCATGAATCAATCAAATATCATTAACAAAATGAAGGATAAAAATTATGTGATCATCTCAATAGATGTAGAGAAAGCACTTGGCAAAATTTGGCATCCATTTAAGATAAAGACTGTCAATAAAGTGAGTATAGAGTGAACATACTTCAACATAATAAAGGCCATATATGACGAGCCTACAGCTAACATCATACTCAATGGTGAAAAGCTGAAAGCCTTTCCTATAATACCAGTAGAAGACAAGGACACCCATTCTCACCGTTTTTATTCAACATTGTATTAGAAGTCCTAGCCAGAATAAAGAAATAAAAGGCATCTAAATTGAAAAGGAAGAAGTAAAACTGTCACTATTTGCAGGCAACATTATTTTATTTATAACCCTAAAGACTTCACCAAAAATACCTGATAGAACTAAGAAACAAATTCAGTAAAGTTGCAGGATACAAAATCAATATACAAAAACCTGTTGTGTTTTTATATACTAACAATGAAATACCAGGAAAAGAAATTAAGAAAACAATCCCATTAACAATTGCATCAAAAAGAATAGAATACCTAGGAATAAATTTAACCAAGGAGGTGAAAAACCTATGTACTGAAAACTGTAAGACATTGATGAAGTAAATTGAAGAAGACAAAAATAAATGGAAAGACAGTTCATGCTCATGGATTAGAAGAATTAATATTGTCAAAATGGCCACATTACTCTAAGCAAGCTACAGACTTAGTACAATCTCTATCAAAATTCTAATGGCACTTTTCAGAGAAATAGAAGAAACAATCCTAAAATTTGTGTAGAACCACGGAAGACCCAACTCGCTAAAGCAATCTTGAGAAAAAAGAACAAAACTGGAGGCATCACGATTTCAAGCTATATTACAAAGCTATAGTAATAATAGCAAGTAATGACCATGAGCAATAAAAGCAACTCTCATAATGAGGGCTCAGCCTGTAGTTTCGGGCCATGTTGACTCTGAGGAACTTGTGAGGTCAATTCACCCTGACGACTTCACATCCTGTCCCACGGACCAAGGATATCTTGCAGCCATGCACACCTGGGGCCAGAGCACAAAGCTGAGGCTCACCTGTGGTTAGAGGGATTACAGTTTCCTAGGAAACCTCAACAAGGAAAATAATACCATTTCTGGCTTTTGCCACTAGGTGGGACTTTACAACAGAAGTCAAGTCTGGTGAGGCAATAGCATCTGTTACAGGTTTTTTTTTTTTTTTTATGTTTTTATTTATTTTTGAGACAGAGAGAGACAGAGCATGAGCAGGGAAGGGACAGAGAGAGAGGGAGACACAGAATCAGAAGCAGGCTCCAGGCTCTGAGCCATCAGCACAGAGCCCGATGCGGGGCTCGAACTCACAGACTGTGAGATCATGACCTGAGCCGAAGTCGGACGCTCAACCGACTGAGCCACCCAGGTGCCCCTGTTACAGGGTTCTTTAACTTCAACACTATTGGCATTTGGGGGCTGGACAATTGGCTGTTCTGTGCTTTGTGCAGTGTCCAGCAGTAGCTCCCACCTCTCCCCTACCCATTGAATTCCAGTAGCAACTTTTGAGTTGTGACAACCAAAGTGTCTCCAAACATTACCAATGTCTCTACAGCCACAGTGTGTGTGTGTGTGTGTGTGTGTGTGTGTGTGTGTGTGTGTATTTAAAAATCACCCCTGGTTAAGAAGCACTGCTCTGGGGGTGCCTGGGTGGCTCAGTTGGTTAGGTGTCCAACTTTGGCTCAGGTCATGATCTCACGGTCTGTGAGTTCAAGCCCCGCGTCAAGCCTGTGCTGACAGCTCAGAGCCTGGAGTCTGCTTCAGATTCTGTGTCTCCCTCTCTCTCTGTGCCTCCTCGCTCACACTGTATCTCTTTCTCAAAAAATAAATAAACATTTTTAAAAAATTAAAAAAAAAAAAAAGAAGAAGCACTTCTCTGGTGTTTAAGAGCAGGGGTCCCGTAGCCAGACCACTTAAATTTAAATCCCAGTGTCTGTGGCGACTTAATGAGCACCCAACGAGCTAATAAATGTGAGGGTACCATGGTCACAGAATTTATCCTCCAAACCAGGGCAATTTGAGAAAGAATGAGGGTTCTAATAATAATTTCATAAATGGAGACTGTCTCAGCCAACAAGGATGTGTGGTCAGTCCTTAAGTCTATAAACAGTGTCGAGCACTGGATGACTTGTGTGTTAAGTGTTTTACATGTAGGAGCTTCATTTAATCCCCTCAAGACCCAGCAAGATCAGTTCTATTATTATTCCCTTTTTGTGTATGGAAAGACTGAGACACTAGAAGCTAACTTGCCCAACATCCCAAGGTGAGTTGTACAGTCTGAATTCTGGTCTTGGCAGGTGAGTTTCCAAGTCTGTGTTCTTAGCCACATGCCCACATGTGTTTGGTTGGGTGCCCAGGGAAACACAGTGCTGCTCAACATCCATTGGTCTCCATGTGAACGACTAGCTCTAGGTCATTCACAGCTGCAACGTGAAGCCCATTTAAAAAGCTCAGTTTTCAGAGGTACTGTGATAAAAAGCAGACACATGAAAGTCAGTGTGGAGCAGGAAATGAGAGTGGCAGTGCCCAATCTGATTCCCAGTTTTGTAGAGCTCAACAGGTGCACTCATCCCACTGGAAAGTCACTATGTCTGCTTAAGAATAAAACAAAAAATTATTTTTTGTTTTCACAGATGGTTACTGAGCTCTTAAGACATAAAGTCTTAGTAAGTCATTTGGATCCAGCTGCTTAATAAATTCAACTGTTAGGTA